AAATGTGTTGAGTATGAGGACGTCAGCTCGAGGGACTTGAAAGAAAATGTTCTTTATACGGTGGTATCTGTGGTTGGTGTTTGTGACTGGGAAAATAAATGGTATCTGTGATCGGGGTTGCTCTCTCTCTCTCTGGTATCCGATGGTGTAGAGATTTGGGCTGAGAGTGCGTATCTGAGAGAGCAAGGGTCCTTCCAGGTCTTCAAATGTGTTGAGTATGAGGACGTCAGCTCGAGGGACTTGAAAGAAAATGTTCTTTATACGGTGGTATCTGTGGTTGGTGTTTGTGACTGGGAAAATAAATGGTATCTGTGATCGGGGTTGCTCTCTCTCTCTCTGGTATCCGATGGTGTAGAGATTTGGGCTGAGAGTGCGTATCTGAGAGAGCAAGGGTCCTTCCAGGTCTTCAAATGTGTTGAGTATGAGGACGTCAGCTCGAGGGACTTGAAAGAAAATGTTCTTTATACGGTGGTATCTGTGGTTGGTGTTTGTGACTGGGAAAATAAATGGTATCTGTGATCGGGGTTGCTCTCTCTCTCTCTGGTATCCGATGGTGTAGAGATTTGGGCTGAGAGTGCGTATCTGAGAGAGCAAGGGTCCTTCCAGGTCTTCAAATGTGTTGAGTATGAGGACGTCAGCTCGAGGGACTTGAAAGAAAATGTTCTTTATACGGTGGTATCTGTGGTTGGTGTTTGTGACTGGGAAAATAAATGGTATCTGTGATCGGGGTTGCTCTCTCTCTCTCTGGTATCCGATGGTGTAGAGATTTGGGCTGAGAGTGCGTATCTGAGAGAGCAAGGGTCCTTCCAGGTCTTCAAATGTGTTGAGTATGAGGACGTCAGCTCGAGGGACTTGAAAGAAAATGTTCTTTATACGGTGGTATCTGTGGTTGGTGTTTGTGACTGGGAAAATAAATGGTATCTGTGATCGGGGTTGCTCTCTCTCTCTCTGGTATCCGATGGTGTAGAGATTTGGGCTGAGAGTGCGTATCTGAGAGAGCAAGGGTCCTTCCAGGTCTTCAAATGTGTTGAGTATGAGGACGTCAGCTCGAGGGACTTGAAAGAAAATGTTCTTTATACGGTGGTATCTGTGGTTGGTGTTTGTGACTGGGAAAATAAATGGTATCTGTGATCGGGGTTGCTCTCTCTCTCTCTGGTATCCGATGGTGTAGAGATTTGGGCTGAGAGTGCGTATCTGAGAGAGCAAGGGTCCTTCCAGGTCTTCAAATGTGTTGAGTATGAGGACGTCAGCTCGAGGGACTTGAAAGAAAATGTTCTTTATACGGTGGTATCTGTGGTTGGTGTTTGTGACTGGGAAAATAAATGGTATCTGTGATCGGGGTTGCTCTCTCTCTCTCTGGTATCCGATGGTGTAGAGATTTGGGCTGAGAGTGCGTATCTGAGAGAGCAAGGGTCCTTCCAGGTCTTCAAATGTGTTGAGTATGAGGACGTCAGCTCGAGGGACTTGAAAGAAAATGTTCTTTATACGGTGGTATCTGTGGTTGGTGTTTGTGACTGGGAAAATAAATGGTATCTGTGATCGGGGTTGCTCTCTCTCTCTCTGGTATCCGATGGTGTAGAGATTTGGGCTGAGAGTGCGTATCTGAGAGAGCAAGGGTCCTTCCAGGTCTTCAAATGTGTTGAGTATGAGGACGTCAGCTCGAGGGACTTGAAAGAAAATGTTCTTTATACGGTGGTATCTGTGGTTGGTGTTTGTGACTGGGAAAATAAATGGTATCTGTGATCGGGGTTGCTCTCTCTCTCTCTGGTATCCGATGGTGTAGAGATTTGGGCTGAGAGTGCGTATCTGAGAGAGCAAGGGTCCTTCCAGGTCTTCAAATGTGTTGAGTATGAGGACGTCAGCTCGAGGGACTTGAAAGAAAATGTTCTTTATACGGTGGTATCTGTGGTTGGTGTTTGTGACTGGGAAAATAAATGGTATCTGTGATCGGGGTTGCTCTCTCTCTCTCTGGTATCCGATGGTGTAGAGATTTGGGCTGAGAGTGCGTATCTGAGAGAGCAAGGGTCCTTCCAGGTCTTCAAATGTGTTGAGTATGAGGACGTCAGCTCGAGGGACTTGAAAGAAAATGTTCTTTATACGGTGGTATCTGTGGTTGGTGTTTGTGACTGGGAAAATAAATGGTATCTGTGATCGGGGTTGCTCTCTCTCTCTCTGGTATCCGATGGTGTAGAGATTTGGGCTGAGAGTGCGTATCTGAGAGAGCAAGGGTCCTTCCAGGTCTTCAAATGTGTTGAGTATGAGGACGTCAGCTCGAGGGACTTGAAAGAAAATGTTCTTTATACGGTGGTATCTGTGGTTGGTGTTTGTGACTGGGAAAATAAATGGTATCTGTGATCGGGGTTGCTCTCTCTCTCTCTGGTATCCGATGGTGTAGAGATTTGGGCTGAGAGTGCGTATCTGAGAGAGCAAGGGTCCTTCCAGGTCTTCAAATGTGTTGAGTATGAGGACGTCAGCTCGAGGGACTTGAAAGAAAATGTTCTTTATACGGTGGTATCTGTGGTTGGTGTTTGTGACTGGGAAAATAAATGGTATCTGTGATCGGGGTTGCTCTCTCTCTCTCTGGTATCCGATGGTGTAGAGATTTGGGCTGAGAGTGCGTATCTGAGAGAGCAAGGGTCCTTCCAGGTCTTCAAATGTGTTGAGTATGAGGACGTCAGCTCGAGGGACTTGAAAGAAAATGTTCTTTATACGGTGGTATCTGTGGTTGGTGTTTGTGACTGGGAAAATAAATGGTATCTGTGATCGGGGTTGCTCTCTCTCTCTCTGGTATCCGATGGTGTAGAGATTTGGGCTGAGAGTGCGTATCTGAGAGAGCAAGGGTCCTTCCAGGTCTTCAAATGTGTTGAGTATGAGGACGTCAGCTCGAGGGACTTGAAAGAAAATGTTCTTTATACGGTGGTATCTGTGGTTGGTGTTTGTGACTGGGAAAATAAATGGTATCTGTGATCGGGGTTGCTCTCTCTCTCTCTGGTATCCGATGGTGTAGAGATTTGGGCTGAGAGTGCGTATCTGAGAGAGCAAGGGTCCTTCCAGGTCTTCAAATGTGTTGAGTATGAGGACGTCAGCTCGAGGGACTTGAAAGAAAATGTTCTTTATACGGTGGTATCTGTGGTTGGTGTTTGTGACTGGGAAAATAAATGGTATCTGTGATCGGGGTTGCTCTCTCTCTCTCTGGTATCCGATGGTGTAGAGATTTGGGCTGAGAGTGCGTATCTGAGAGAGCAAGGGTCCTTCCAGGTCTTCAAATGTGTTGAGTATGAGGACGTCAGCTCGAGGGACTTGAAAGAAAATGTTCTTTATACGGTGGTATCTGTGGTTGGTGTTTGTGACTGGGAAAATAAATGGTATCTGTGATCGGGGTTGCTCTCTCTCTCTCTGGTATCCGATGGTGTAGAGATTTGGGCTGAGAGTGCGTATCTGAGAGAGCAAGGGTCCTTCCAGGTCTTCAAATGTGTTGAGTATGAGGACGTCAGCTCGAGGGACTTGAAAGAAAATGTTCTTTATACGGTGGTATCTGTGGTTGGTGTTTGTGACTGGGAAAATAAATGGTATCTGTGATCGGGGTTGCTCTCTCTCTCTCTGGTATCCGATGGTGTAGAGATTTGGGCTGAGAGTGCGTATCTGAGAGAGCAAGGGTCCTTCCAGGTCTTCAAATGTGTTGAGTATGAGGACGTCAGCTCGAGGGACTTGAAAGAAAATGTTCTTTATACGGTGGTATCTGTGGTTGGTGTTTGTGACTGGGAAAATAAATGGTATCTGTGATCGGGGTTGCTCTCTCTCTCTCTGGTATCCGATGGTGTAGAGATTTGGGCTGAGAGTGCGTATCTGAGAGAGCAAGGGTCCTTCCAGGTCTTCAAATGTGTTGAGTATGAGGACGTCAGCTCGAGGGACTTGAAAGAAAATGTTCTTTATACGGTGGTATCTGTGGTTGGTGTTTGTGACTGGGAAAATAAATGGTATCTGTGATCGGGGTTGCTCTCTCTCTCTCTGGTATCCGATGGTGTAGAGATTTGGGCTGAGAGTGCGTATCTGAGAGAGCAAGGGTCCTTCCAGGTCTTCAAATGTGTTGAGTATGAGGACGTCAGCTCGAGGGACTTGATGTCTCTCCGTCATGAAGAGTCGGATGTTTGGGTCATCCGGGTCGCCGCTCCGACAGAAGCTCGGAAGATCTCGAGGGACGAGGAGCAATCGCGGAAGCTGGGAGCAGAAGCATCTGTCGAAAAAGAGGCTTGGTAACAGCTTGGAAAGCATCGAACATCTCCATGAGTTGATCGCCCAATCGAGGGTGGTCTTCGGGAAGGCCATCGGAGATGGACTCCAAATGGAATCCGGATATGGATCGGCCAAGGGATTGGATGTTGGTGAATCGGAGGAGATGACTGCGGATGTGGTCGGTGACCAGGAAGGTGACGTGGAGTCCGGATAGGCATAGAAGTTCTGCTAGCTTCAGCATGGAGTTTACAGGACACTGCTACACCGTTGACACACACGGTTTTGAGGGAGGGAAGAACACACTGCAATACACAAGAAGAATGCATCATGGTGAATGAATCCATCATGGTGAGTTGTTGAAGAATCTGTCATGAAAGAAGAAATTAAGGAAATTTGGGTTTGTCCGGCGGGGTGTTGAAAAACTCCAGCGGGCAGCGAGGGCATGGTTGCCGGCCGGCTGCCCGCCGGAAAGAAAGGAATATAGGCCTAAATCTTATAGCTCTGATACCATGTAAAATAAATTGATGTATTATTGATTGATGTATGTTGTATATTACAACTATATATTACAAATGGTGGTGAGGGGCTCCTTATATAGGAGATGTAGTGGAGTAGGTGGTAGTGGTAGGTGGTAGGTGGAGTGGGGTAGGTTTAGTGGAGTAGAGGTGGTAGGTGGAGTGGGTTAGGTTTAGTGGAGTAGGTTTAACAGCCAAAAAAAAACTATTGCACAAAATGCTGGCTGTGATGTGGAAAATAAGAAATGGATGTAGTCAAACTCAAGCCAAAATGAAATAATTATATTCACTCAAAAATTTCAACAAACAGTGCCAGTACATTGTGCAACCCAGTTGCGAAAATAGAACATTGTGTTTATTCATTACCAAAATAATGGTAAAAAGAACACATCAATGTATTACTGCCAGCTATCTTCAATCAAAATGCACCTCCCTGTGCTCCGAATGTGTTTGCAGTGGTCGGCAATGGTGGATCTTGGAAAAAGTGGTTGTGCATGACATGGTGGGAGGGAGCAACTGACAAGATGCAAAACGACACATTACTCATGGTGGTTCTTTAATGCTTTTGGGGTCATTCAGAAAATTGAAACATATGGTGAAAGTAACGAATTTTTTCATACACCCAACTCTTTCATGCAAGTTCTTGACCTACTTTACTCATGTCTTCTACAGCTTTGAGAGTGACAGAAATGGTATCAACTGTTAAACGAAAATGCAAGGAGAAGCTTTCGTCAATGCACCTAATATGCATGTATTTGTTATCATATCTATATTTTCTTATGAAACTATATACAAATTGAACCATTAATAGAGAAACCAGCCCTCGTTGATAACAAGTAACCTCGTATGCATCTACTATTATTTTTCCATATCCAAAAATATTTAAGCAAGTAACAATGTGAGCTCCAACCTATTTGACACTACTGTGCCATAAATAGTTGATGCAGATGTCTTATGGCTTCTGCCACATCTAGGAAGCGGCATATTTTTAATCTGATACGATATAACAATATTTACCTAAGTATTTAAGGGAGAACAAAGGCTGAAGAATGGATTTGCTATAAGAATCATCCCAATCCAGAGATTCCCACCATTCATTATCTCCCCAAATGTGCTGAAGCGCAGGTGGTGCTGATGCTTGCCCGTTATCCATGTCCAAAGAAAGAGGTAGTCTCCTTAATGTGTGACACTTGTCTACAACAATATCTTGCAGAGATCCACAGACCATTTTGCCCTTATATATGCTCTTCAGTCTTGGTAGACTTGACAGTTGTAATCTCTGGAAATTTCGTAGTGTGATTGTGTTGCTATCCTCTTGATGATGACCCTGATCACTCATCTCTACTTCTACGATTATGTCCTCTACATGTTTACAATAAGACACTTCAAGTTGCTCAAGGTTTGGGAAGTTCTGCAACAAAGCAGGGAAAATATTCCTAATACTGGAACATCTACAGAAGTACAATTTCTTAAGGTTAAAGGAAAGACTGTATGGAGGAACAACTCCGTCAAAGAATGCCCTAAAATTGGGTAATTCAAGAAACAATAATGACTCAACAGTTCTTAGTGGGATTTGACAGTCTTCTAAGAAGGATGATGACGAGAAAATGGATTCTATCCTATTACAGTATCGGAGATGACATGTTCTTAAATCTCTACCATCCCTCAATGACAGAATATCTGATAAACTAATGAGATTGTGGCATTTTTTAATCTCAAAGAACGCTATGTTTCTGGGGAGCACTAGCAAATCTATTCCACTTTCAAAAAGTTCAGACTCAACATTAACACGAACTTCATTTCCCATAGTGCTGATGGCATATTCTAAATTATTTCCCACTATAAGGCAGTAGTTTTCCAAGCTTTGACATTGTTGAGACGTCACATAACTAGTAAGCTCTTGCACATTCAATAAGTGAACTCGGAGAACTTTTAATTGCCTCAAGCATAAGATCTCTTTTGCTGACACTTTTGCTCTTGTTGCATCAATTCTAAGGCATTGGAGTTGGGACAGTCTGCATAACTTCCAGCAAGGAAATGTCTGTAGACTGTTATTCCAGGAGATGTCGACATTGCTGAGGTTAACCAATTCTTCTATACCTTGGGGTGCTTCTTCTATCTGACTTCTTTTCAATTTTAACTCTTTCAATGCCTTTAGTTTCTCCAGTGACGGCACATACTTCAGTCTTACACAGTCCTTCAGTAACAATGTATGCAAATTCACCAACTTGGAGAAGGAATCTGGCAGAGACTCTATGTAGGTGCCGGACAAATCCAATACATTGAGATGATGCATATGCACAAAGAAAGAATCTGGAATTCGTAATAATGGGTTATATCCCAGTAACAAGGTGATGAGCTGAGGGCAAATGGGTGGTCTAAAAGGAAGTTCTTCTATCTTAGGAAACCCTCTCAAGATCCTCAGACCAATCTTCGTATGGTACTCTTTCTAATCCCTCACCAGCTTTTGCCATGAATCGAGGACTAGTTGATGTTATTTTGAGAGCCATATCTCTTATCAAATCATGCAACCTCACGAATTCTTCCTTATGTATGTTGGTATGACTCTCCAACAAGCAAGGATTTATGAGTTTATTTAATATAGCGTGACCTTTGTCAAACATTGCTTCTATACTGTTCATCTCAGCTATTAGTCCCTCGGCAATCCAATATTCTATCAGCTCTTCCCTAGGGATGATATCGTCTTCTGGATACAATGCACAATACAAGAAACAATGTTGGAGCTTTTCTTCATTTAGGTGACTATAACTAAATTTTAGTCGCTCGAACATCATACTTTCATTGTCCATGATCTGTTTTGTTGAACTGGTCAATTCATTTAATGCATTTCTCCACTCACAAATGTCATTTACTCCCCTCATACTGCCAGCTATAGTAGTGATTGCAAGAGGCAGACGTGCACATTCTTTGGAAACTTTTGTTGCAATTTCTTTCACTTTTGGAGTAAGAACTGTCTGATGTTCTTCAACCTTGCTCATAAATAGATTCAGTGCTTTATCTTCCGTGAGAAGCTCCACTTTGACAGCTCTGCACTCCATCTTCCTACACACTTCTAACGATCGTGTAGTTAACACTAGTTTACATCCATTAGATATGGATGGTTCTAGAATACCCACCTTATCCAGAAGAAATGCTTTCCACAGATCATCTAAGATGAGCACATACCTCTTCTTTTGGAAAAACATTGTATACAATTTTGATGCTCTTTTTGTTTCATCCCCATAACTCGACAAATCAAGATTCAGTGCCTTTGCTATCTACCTCTGTAGATTTCTAATGTTGAAGCTTTAGATACTGTGACCCAAATAACATCATCAAAGTTACAAGCTTCATTCAAGAGTTCATTGTTAATGTGATGCATGATGGTTGTTTTGCCGATTCCCCCCATTCCAAAAATGCCAATCCTTCTAACCTCATCATCCATCAAGTATTTCCAAACGTTCTCCATGTTCCTTGCACTTGTGTTTTCACAAAAAGATCCCATTGTTGGTATGAACCGTCCACTAGTTGGAAGTGCATCAATTAGCAAACCATTAGAAAATCTACACTTTTCCTGCAGTTCTGCCACCTCTTGAATCTTCTCCGCAACAAGGTTTCCCAATTGTACACGTAAGAAGACATTCTTCCATCCTACTACTTCTTGCTCTTGTCTTTGCAAAGTTCGCACATCACCTTTTAACATTTGCACATCTCCGAGCCAATCTTGAACTACTTTTGACTGCTGCTCTGCACTGCTCAGTTCAGTCTTTATATCCTCCTCTTGACTGCTCAAATCCTCTATCTTTCTTTTGAAAATTTTCAAATTTGCATCAAGGCTGTTGATATATCCAAACCATTTTCCAGTTGCTTCCCCCAAATTCTTCACAATTTCAAAAATTGAAACTAAGAATCCCATGGTGTGGTGTGGTTAGTTCCTACAAATATAGAAGTTGCAGAGGATTGTAGTTAAAAGGGAAAAAATCCTGAAGAAAACTTCAATATCAATTGTGTCACTGCCATTCAAAAGCAATTTGAAATTTGATTGAAAAAACAAAAGCAAGAGAAAGCAAATTATGCTAATATTTGCAAATTGACTTCATATTCACCTCAAAGTCAGTCTTGAATCACTGACAAAAGAATGATTGTGCTAAATAGATAATTGTAAAAATGGACCAGCATTTGTGTTATTCAAGAATTTTTTATCTGATGTTGTTCGTAAATTTAAGGTAGGTGGATGATTTGAAACACAAATATGAATAAGGTCTATAACAGCGATTGGAACTGTATAACACCTACTAAACCCACAAAACCTCTGATTTTAATCCCCTAACCAAACACAGCCTCAGTAATTTGCCTTAAAAAATCACAGAGCAAAACATGAATTGAAACAATTCAATCTTTTAACAAAAAGTAAAAAAACACGTCACAAAGAGAGAGAGAGAGAGACAGAGAAAGCTCATGTCTCAACTGAAACTTGAACTCCTACACCTTTCCATTGTAGGAGAAAGATGGCATAAATGACTTCCAGACAAAAGAAGAATAAAAGCTTACAGCTGAATTCTCTAGCTTGGTAACATATACAACACAAGGTCTTACTTCTTAGTTTGGAATATTGAAGGAAGATAAATTGCTTTCCATTTTACAAATTAGTTCAACCATGAACATAAACGGTCCTCTGTCTACTGAACAAAAACAAATAAATATATAAATCAAAATCACGACTGTGGACATGTATCAATACAATCTTGGCTCAAAAAAAAAAAAAAAAAGCAAGCCAAGATTGAGGGCCAAACTTCAAACAATAGCAAAAGAAAACTGAAGCTTAGTAATCCCAGAAAAAGTTACCTTCTGGTGTGTTCAGAGACTGATTCTGATAAAGCTTGGAAACCAAACTGTCTAAGAAGATAAAAGAGAAACAGACCAATCAATAATGAACCTTCTTCACAAACCCATCACCAATGCCCGCCAGAAACTGCTCTACGCCGAAGCTTCTCTCTCCTCTCCGAATTCACAGAAAGCTTGGATTTTGGAGTCTGGAGATTATTATGAAGATTTAAAGGAATTCTTAAGTTGGAATTTCATATTAAATTCTGATATCCCAAACGCACAAACTGATCTACAAATTAATATGCAATGAAACAAAAACAGATATCAAATCCTTATCTATCTGCTGTTCAGGAGTTAGATTGGGACTACAAAACTCTGCTTCCACTCGTTCTTGCAGACTAGACTAGTAGAGAGAAAGAGTCGATGCCGGAGACGGTACAGTACATCAGGTCATGTGAACCGTCCACGTCGGGTGAGGTGTGGCCCACCCAAATTTGATGAAAAATGCTAGGACTCCGAATGTATTTTTGTGCTGAATCTAAACTATTAGGTTTTGATTCAGTATTAATAATCCTATCAAATTAGTGTGGTGTTAACTATTCCATCCTTACCTCATTATTAATAATCCTACAAATTTGTTGGATTAATTATCCATTGGATTAATAATCCTAAACCAAAGTGTCAAAACAAACATAGGATAATTGGGCCCACGGATTAATAATCCTAATCCCATGCTTTAATCCCTCCAATCAAACATGCCCTTAATTTCTTTTTATTACTAATAAATATTGGAGTGAGAAAGGTGAATTTGTAATATTAATTCTTTCGTCTCAAAATATTAATGTTTTGTTTTATTTTTTATTATTTTAAAATATTAATTTCTTTTCAAAAATTAAGTATAAAAATAATATAAATTTTTCATTTTACCCTTTTTTTAAATTTATTAACAACATAAAATGTACAATTATGACATTGATATTCCTCAAAAAAATGTATTATATTATTTCAAATTTTATTTTTATAATTTAAATCGTTCAATTTTTAAAGAACATCGAATAGAGCATACTTATAAAAAATGAAGTTGATCAGATATTAATAGACATTTCATCAACTCATATTTGTATATATAAAAAAATAAATATATAAATATTAAATTGAATACAAATGTAAGTTTTTGATTTTTTACAGATATGTTCTACTCTATGTTATTTAAAAATTGAATGATTCGGATCATCAAAATAAAATTCAAAATAATTCTCACGTGCTACACAACAATCATTGCTGTGCATGCCACATAGTAGTAACTCCAACTCTAAGAAAATAGAGAGAGAAGTGTAGGCTTCCTCTTCACATAAACGCTCTCTATATCATTAGAATCAATGACGGAGTCAAGAAATTAAATCAGAGAGGACATTTATTAATTATAACATTGAAAATTTTTACAAAAATATTTTACATAAATTTTTACAATTGACTTCAAGAAAGATAAATATATATATTATTTGTAATTAGTATATCATGGACAATATATATAAAAAAAAAATCATGGATATAAGTTTTAAAATAAATTATATAATGATAAAATAATTTTTTATACAAAATTTCAGTAAAAATTCAATATAATAGTAATACTACGTCATCATTGACATATGATATCACCAACCAATAAATAAACACATAGAGGATGAACCCCACATGTCAGATGTAACTAATAATTCAATAAATTTCATATTTTCATTGAGATTAATTATAATTGTATGTCAATAATGATATATATCACCATTATAATGAAATTTTTATAGATAATAATATAATTTATCGTAATATTTTTATTAAAAAAAATTAGTATGTTTGGGATGACTTTTTGGCTTTTATGAAAAGATGTGCAAAAAGTAGAGAAAAAAAAGAATCTTTGACTTTTTTTGTATGGGTTGTTGACTTTTTGGCTAATTTAATAACTTTTTGACTAAAAGAAAGGGTTCCCAAACGAGACCTCAGTCACTGATTAGAACCATATTAAAACTCCAAAATTAAAATTCTTTAATATTATTCTTTATAATGTTGTTAAAATTTAATTAGGCTGGAGCCGAAAAAAAAAAAAAAAAAAAAAAAGCCGCAAAAGTCCAAATCGGTTGAGTCAAGCTATTTTATTACTCATCCGAATTCTCGGTAATGCATTATGCGTAGTTCATTTCAAGACGACGTTTTTCTTTCAATAATTGATCTGAAAAGTCAAAAAAACGAGACCTTGATTATTGAATTATTCATGTCCATGTCCATCTCAGTCGTATATTTAAAGCGAAATTTTCGGTCTTGATGAAATTATGAGAATAACCCTCATTTTTAGCTATTTTGTTTGCTTTTTATATATGTGCCCAAGGATTTAATAGTATTTTTATCTCTCTTCTTTCTCTCTCCCTCTTTTCCAGATCTGCCACACCACACACCACTCCTTCCTCTTATCTGTGATTAGCTGCCCTCTCTCCTCAGTCTCAATCTTCCATCCCTCTCATTCCTTTGCTTTTTACTTTCATATATCGACCTCATCTGTGATTTGCTCTCCTCTCTCCTCAAGCCCAATCTTCCATCCCTCTCATTCCTTTGCTTTACTTTCTACAAGCATATTACTCGTACTATCCACTAGGTAAAATAATATATTATTTAATAAAAATATAATAATTATATTTAATTTTTTTATATTATATAAAATAAAAATTAAATAGAAGTTAGGTAATCGTGTGGCCAAGGCCCCTGCATATGCAGCTCTGCCCTCAGCCTAGAAAAATTTTCAACTAAAATGAAAAACTCCCGAATTCAATTTCAAGCCTCCCGAAACAAGCAAAACTCTAAATTGAAATAAATAGGGATGAAAATTTGAGAAAGAGATTTTCAAAAGCGATGAACCCAACAGTTGACAAGACTTCAAGTTAGACCCCAACACTCTAACATGGTGAATCCCAACACGCACAAGAAAGGTAAGACGGGTTACACGCCCGGTCGTCACAAAGTTAGCTAATGAGAATTTTCTTAATTGTTTAAAATTAAAAAAATTCAATAATTTATATAAATGAGAGCATAAGATTCACTTTATATAAGTGAAACAGTTCATTTTTTCCTTTTTTTCGCAATGTGAGAATGTAAAATGAAAGTTAAATATAAGCTAACCAATGAAAATTTTCTTAATTATTCAAAATTAAGAAAATTTAATAATCTTGGATTGAGGGTTTGGAATTCTTAGAAATCTTCTCTCTAAAAACTCCCTTTTTTCCTTATATAATATAAGTGAAACAACTAACTTTTTCTTTCTGATCCCAATGTGATTGTGTAAATAAAAGTTAACAATTGTTTGGACGGAAATTTTATTTCGAATAAAGCAATCTCAGCTGTTTAATCTTTAATTAGGTCAATTTTTAATTTATTTCAAATCAAACAAATCTAACCACTATATTTTGATAAAACCGCTAAAATGGCAATTAAACCAGCGAATCAGTCAAACCGAAAATAGTTCACCCTATTGGCTAGGTCAAATGACCAACCAACTTATACAAAAATTAATTAATTAAAACTTTTTAATTTTAAAATTTAAACTGTCTTAAACTGAAGCATACATAACACTACAATATTAAATGGGAGCATAAGATTTATATAGTGAAACAACTTGTTTTTTTTCTCTTTTTCCTGATGTGAGATTGTAAAATAAAAGTTAACAGTTGTTTAGACGAAAAATTCATTTCTAATCAAGCAATATTAGTCGTTCAATTTTTAATAAGGTCAATCTTAGTTTATTTCAAATCAAACAAATCTAAATAATATATTTTGATAAAACAGCTAAAATCATGGTTAAAGCAGTGAATTAGTCAAACCAAAAACGATTCAATCTAATCGGCTAAGTCAAAAGACCAACCAATTTACAACAAAATTAATTAATTAAAACATTTAAATTTTGTTTTAAAATTTAAACCATCTTGAACTGAAATATACACAATACTATAATATTAAATGAGAGTATAAGATTCAGTTTATTATATAAGTGAAACGACTCATTTTTTATTTCTTTTCTCGATGTGTGATTGTAATTATTTTTAAATTAAATATTATGAGAGTTTCAAAATCTCATACAAAATTATTTTTAAAATCAAAATGTCTATGTGAGATTATACAATAAAACTTAAATAGAAGCTAACCAATAGAGATTTTCTTAATTGTTTAAAATTAAGAAAATAAAAAAAAATAGTATTGATTATAGGGCTTCTCACTAAAAATCTTTTTTTGCTTTTATAAATGGGAATATAAGATTCACTTTATATAAGTGAAACAATTCATTTTTTTCTTCTTTTTCCGATGTGAAATTGTAAAATAAAAGTTAAATGGATATGCACATTGGATTGCAGATTGAAATTGTATTTACAAAAATACATTCACATTGCACCTTCATATAGCACGGGTGATATGCTAATAGTATTGTACATGTATTCTTAAACACACAAATAAAAAAATGGTATTAATTATAGGGTTTCTCACTAAAAATCTTATTTTACTTATATAAATAGAAGCATAAGATTTATTTTATATACGTGAAACAATTCATTTTTTCCTTCTTTTTCCGATCTAGGATTGTAAAATAAATGTTAAATGGAAGCTAACCAATGGAAATTTTCTTAATTGTTTAAAATTAAGAAATTTCAATAATTTATATAAGTTAGAGCATAAGATTCACTTTATGTAAATGAAACAATTCACTTTTTTCCCCTTTTTTTTTTCAATTTGGAATTGTAAAATAAAAGGTAAATGGAAGCTAGCCAATGAAAATTTTTCTTAATTGTTTAAAATTAAAAAAATTTAATAATTTTAGAATAAGGATTTGAACCTTCTGGAAGGTTTCTCCCTTAAAACTCCATTTATAAGATTCATTTTATATAAGTAAAACAATTTACTTTTTTTTTCGTTTCTCGATGTGTGATTGTAATTAGTTTAAAGTTAAATATTATGAGAGTTTCAAAATTTCATACAAAATTATTTTTAAAATCAAAACTATGTGGGATTGTAAAATAAAAGTTAAATGGAAGCTAACCAATGAGGATTTTTTTTAATTGTTTAAAATTAAGAAAATCAAAAAAATAAGTATGACATATTAATCACAGAGATTCTCACTAAAAATCTCATTTTACTTCTATAAATGGGAGCATAAGATTCACTTTATATAAGTGATTCACTTTTTCTTTCTTTTTTTGATGTGAGATTGTAAAATAAAAGGTAAATGGAAACTAGCCAACGGGAATTAGAGAGGCATAATTTAGATTGATGAATTTATCATACTTGATCATTTTGTAAATTCATATGCATATTAGAAGAAAAAAAAAGTTCAAATTCATTCTAACGTCATGTTCATACGATTTCAATATATTTATCTTTAATAAAAATATATGATCTATTTATAAAATTATATATATTATTTATTTTTAAAATTTTAATATAATAAAATTACGTGATTATAAATGGTGGTCTCGTTCAAAGTA